AAAAAAAAAAAAAAAAAAAGATGAACCTGAAACAACACAAAAAGATTTTTGAAAATGCTGATCTTGGCCAGGCACAGTGGCTCACTCATGTAATCCTAGCACTCTGGGGGGATAAGACAGGAGGCTCCCTTGAGCTCAGGAGTTTGAGACCAGCCTGAAGAAGAGTGAGATCCTCTCTCCACTAAAAATAGAAAAATCAGTAGAGTGTTGTGGTGGGAACCTGTAGTCCCAGATACTTGGGAGGCTGAGGCAGGAAAATCTCTTGAACCCAGGAGTTTGACACCCCAGCACTCTAGCCTGGACAATAGAGCAAGACTCTGTCTCAACAAAAAAAAAAAAAAAGAAAATGCTGATCTTCACTTGAAAGGTGGTATTATCCTTTTAAAGGAAGGTGGTTTAGATAGGTGCACTCCGCTTGCTTGTAGTCAAGACTTCCAGCACTGCTAGCTCTTCAGGACAGCAGTATGAAAATGAGCCCAGGCAAGGAGTATGGCGCAGAGGGGGCAGAAAGTTACTCCATGAAAGCTTCCTCTCCAAGCCATTTACCTTTTGTAATCTCACATTTCTTTTAATAAGTTTACTTGGGCATCTACCCCTATAGCCCTCTATAAACAAATCATTCTAACTTTGGGCCAAACTTATCATGACAATTCTACGTGTATTCTATCCGAGGTGCTTCTCTAAGCCTGAGAGGCTGTATTTGTATGTACCTATATCACCTCTCAGGGAATGAATGTCATCTGCTGATTACAGCAGCTGTCTCATTGCCAGACAGCCATATCTATCCTTAGTCATCCTACTTTCCACTACCCTGGATCTCATGAATGGGTCAGAGTTAGTGCGTCACCTAACCTTCACAGGTGGTATTAGCATGAACATCAGTGCAGGAGCTGAGACCACATTCAAAGATGGACTGTCATGAGCAACAAAAATCCTTTGGCAGTTGTGATCAAAGGAGTCCATGTTTAGTGGCTCTGTACAGAAAGATCAAGTTCTTGTTCCTGTCTGAAAAAATAAATACAGCTGCTTGCATAGAAATACATGCTTGATGGTCTGTGTGTTGCATGTGTGGGAATCTAGGGGTGGATTGAGATTATGAAATACTGGATTTAATATTTGATCCCTTTAAAATCGATTATTGGGGATTGTGAAGAAATCTTTAAAAAGTAAAGGCTTTAGAAATCTCTATGTCAAGAAAAGGGCTTTTTAGCACTTAGTCTCTATGCCATACAATCTTAGAACAAAGCTTTTCATCAGAGCTTTAGGTATGGAAGCTTTTGTTCAAATGCCAAAAATATGGGGTCATTGTAAAGTCATTTGCTTTTAGAATCAAGAAACACAGCAGGGTACTTTGAACATGAATTTAAAAGATATATATCCTAAAAATAAGGACAATAAAAGCCAGGAGACTTAGGAATGCCTCCACTCTTCCCAGGCTTTTACAGCCCCTCAGCACCTGGCTCCTTACCTCTGTAGGCCTGGTTCTGGGACTTTGCTGTTGCCAGCAGCAGTCTGAATCTGGGTGGGTGCCTCTCCAGAGAGCCAGGACAACAAAGGAGACCAATGGCATGATTAACCTTGATTCCCTTACTCAGTGGTAGGAGCAGTCAGGATTTCCTGATGCATTACTAAACAGAAATCTCAACTGCCCAGCACCAAGAGGTTAAAAATTGTTCTGAAAAGCTAAATTACACATACATGCAAACCACAAACACACAGCACCTGGGTAAATAAATTGTGGCTGAGTAAAGGCCAGGCTGTTTGCAAAAGGAAATCTGGAAAGCATTTGTTTGGGGGTAATTAACATTACCTATGGTGGTTGTTTTCTTTTCTTTTTTTTATTTTTTTGAAAGAAAATAGTTCAGTTTAGAGGAAGTAGGAAAAAAAAACAGAATTTTGATGTGGCTACTGAAAATAAGATTTCAGTTCGTTTATGTTCTAAATCTTAAGGAGCTACCAAAATAGAGAAGGGCACAGAGCTACTGCAACAAGTTTTAATATGAAAGTTGCTTAGGAAAGAATATTTCCCAGATATGAAATGTGCTATGGATTGCCTTGAAGAGGTCATTAGACATTGTGTATCCTCCAGATGTGGGATAAAAGCATCAATGGTAAATGACAGCATCTCAGATAATTAAGCTTTAAACATGGCAAATTCAAACCACTGGAATTCACAATAAGCCAAACTTTCTATTCTAATAGAATTTGAGCAGAGAATTGTGCTGAGCGTACTTCATCTGGGTATGTATGTGGCTAAGTGGTTCCTTTTTCTGGAAGGAAAAATGTACAACCTCCTTAGGGCAGGGGTTCCCTCTCTTTCAATAGAAAGCTATTAGTTGAGCTATAAAAAATGGCAGTTTTGCCTCATTGCACATAGTTCAGTGAGTAGGGCACCAGCCACATACACCAAAGCTGGCAGGTTTGAGCCCAGCCAGGGCCTGCTAAACAACAATGACAACTGCAACCAAAAAAATAGCTAGGCAGTGTGGTAGGTGCCTGTAGCTACTTGGGAGGCTGAGGCTAGAGAATTTAAGCCCAAGAGTTTGAGGTTGCTGTGAGCTGTGATGTCACAGCACTCTACGAAGGGCAACATACTAACACTTTGTCTCAAAAAAAAAAAAAGCAAAAACTTTCAAAATCAGCAATTTCATATGATTCAACTTAATACAGTGGTTCTCAACCTTCCTAAAGCCGTGACCCTTTAATATAGTTCCTCATGTTGTGGTGACCCCCAAACATAAAATTATTTTCATTGCTACTTCATAACTGTAATTTTGCTACTGTTATGAACCATAATGTAAATATCTGATATGTAGGATGGTCTTAGACAACCCCTGTGAAAGGGTTGTTTGTCCCCAAAGGGGTGAGGACCTACAGGTTGAGAACTGCTGACCTAATACTTCTGATGTTTTTCTAAGACAGATCAGTCAGAGTTGACACATTTGTGGAGAGAAGAGAGTGAAGGATGGAGGAACAAATAGTAAAGCTCTTATAGGATTCAGAAAACAAAAGCCTGATTGGAACAAGTAGGGTTCCCAATGGGAACTCCAAAAAACTATTGGGAGTTGTGAATATGAAGGTAACATTCTGGAACAGTGAGATAAGGCTTCAGAACTGACCTTCTATCAGTGACAAGGGTACAAGAGGAATCTGGTGGGGTCCAGAAAACAACTCCAGCATATGCTAAATTGCAAAGACAAAGATAGAAAGAACTGAGTTCTCAGGGTACCTCAGCTGTTAAGTCACAGAGATAAATAAAAACATACTAAGAAAAACAGTAACAATATATCTTGTTCATATAGTCAAATTAACAACAAATAGAACAAAAGAAAACCAGTAAAACCTTTGATAATTTATTGTCTCCACACCATAGCAACATAATTATGTTAAGCAAACATGATTTCCACTGAATCTTACATATTAAATTTTTTTTTAACTTAAAGGCAAATCTACATTGGAAAACACCACCAAAATGTCCTCCTAAACTCAATATGAGACATAAGTATTACAAATTAATTTTGAGGGTAAGCTGTGAGAATAGTACATACAATCCCTACAATGATTATTAAAAGCCTACTATTAAGTACTACTACGTTTAGACATAATAATGCCTGATCCCTGAACAATATAACCCTTGTACAAGGGCTCTTGAAGATACATTAAAGCACAAAAGATAACAAAAGAAAGGAAATATAGACAGTACAAGTTCTAGTAGACACAACATTCCTCATCACTTCTGAAATTTTCATAACTTTCTGGGGTCAAAATTCTGAAAATATTTCAATTTGTGGGAAATTTAAAACAAAGCTTCATCTACTTATTTTTGTTATAATACTAAAGTTTACAAAGTTTAACGTGTAAGATGAAGATGCCAAAGGCTACTTACAAATAAAACAGTATAAAATTTATATAACAAAGATTATGATAAAAGCCATTATCAGTCATTATATATTCCATCCTATAATCTCATAAATCAGAGCTCTTAACTGTCTGGACTCATATGTGACTGTATTCTTTCCAATGTGCATCCTTTCTTCTTCTAGCGGTTGTTCTATAATGGCAGGTATGTTTCTGCCATGAAGTTCACAGTGTTGTAGAAACTGGACACATTCTTGAATAACAGTGTCACGAAGCATGATTGTGTGTTTTGACATGTTTTCTAATAAGGACAGGAAACATCTTTTGGCATAATACCAAGTATCAGTTCCAAGTTTTTTATTATAAGGCTCCAAGCTTTTGATAACTCGAGAAATACCAAAGTCATAGTTTCCTTTGGCACAGTAAAGAGTTCCTATTACCAAGTTCACAATGCAGAGATGGTAGATTTTCTTATCTGGGTCATCATAAGAGAGCTGCTCTTCTTCCTTTTCGATCTTCCTCATCAGCTCTTCAGCTTCTTCATTTTGACTTGTCATAATATACGAAACACAGAGGTTAGCTAATACAATTGCACTGACATTCAGGATATTATCATAATGCTTCTTGACTATGGGCTCATAGAAACCGATGGCTTCTTTGTATTTGTTTTCCTGCATGAACAGAACATG